GTGGCCTGATGGAGCCACAACAACTTATACGAAATCAAGAAAAGTAACCGTCCAGTTCTCGAAGATAGATTGAATAAATATCAGAAAGTATCAAGTTCAGTTGGCGAATCTTCCGGAGCTGGAGGTTTTCGTATACAAATATTGAATCAATGCAATATTAGATTTTGAGACCTCTTTTCATTCTGAGAGTCATGGACAGCAAGCCGGCTCTGCACTAATCTACTCAATGATTAGAGTAGAATAGGATGGATACAGATGAGTTGGTAGCAATGCATCAGCTATTGATGATTGTGTATTGGGAGAGTGTAATCGTACATGTTCCATATCAGTGACTATTCTCACGTTGGATGGACTTACCCTCTCATCTCATCAGCTGGTTCCAAAGAAATATATCCACCACTCAAGGGAATACCTAATTTCCCGCATTTAACCATTCTTAATTGAAACAGCCGCTTTACATGCGATTTCTTCTCCCCCCTTCATAAAGCGTACTGATTCCATGAATCGCCTAAGATATCACCGATGGAAAGTCGAATAAGTCAGATTCAAGGGTGTTCATTTACTAGAGTCGAGTAAACGAACGTTGATTGCGGCTATGGTTGCTGTCCTACACAGAACCGCTTTTAGTCCTCTGTGGTGGGAACATGGAGGGGATTTCTGATATGGCCTGATCCAGTTTCTGTGCTTCTATCGCTGGTAGCACGGTGGAAACTGAGCCGAAAAGACTCAGTCTCAGAGAATACATCTAATGTACAGCTGTTTATAGTTCGGAATTCCGTCGCGAGAGATGACCATCGTTCGTAACACCCCAATGCTTGGGAAACAAAGTGGTTGAAATGAGACAAATAATTCTTATCAGATATCGTACCCAGCTCCATGAGTTGCACTCTACATTCGTATATGGCAGTTAAGTCACGACAACTTTTCAGCTCTCCCAACACCTGATACAAGATATCGTCTCTCGCTCGATTTCCGTGTTTCGGTCAATTTACTGTTCACCATTCTCATTTTTTATTTCCTGCTGGGAGAAACTCTGTCCATTGACTCGACAATGGCAAAGAAGGCGAAATCCAGAAATAACATCAGTAGCATCGAGTCGTTTGAGTAATATTGATCCGTTAACTCCTTCATTGTTAGTTGCCGAGTTGACTGGACCGGCTGTGCCGTTCTCGAGAACTCAATGGATGGCATTCAATCCTTCACTAGTGAAGAATTTCTCGTGCGCGTATCGCATTCAACCAAAAAGGTATATAATGACTCCGGTAAGGAAATGTTGATGTAACGTTAGGTTTTTCTGATGGATTCAACAGTGGGGTCCACCAGTGGTGGAGGAATTCAGGTTCGCTTTCCTCAACTGAGTTCAGGAGTTTCTTCATCTCTATATAAATTTACACATGACTTCTGGTAGAAGTGGATAGAAGCCAACAAGAATTCCCCAAGATTTCCTCAGAATTTTCATATTGTCACCAACACGTGCAGTTCTTCACGTGTTTATTCTCCCCACACTGGAGTCCACCGATTGGACTTCCGAGTTCTACACCGAAATCTTACCGGGTGCAAATCGAAGATATTTTCTCTAATATGAGTGAGACCATAAAGAGCCAACCACTCGCTCAGCAGATCATGAGCAGGACCCCCAGTGATCTAAACGGAGACGACGAATAGCAGCGAGTGTGGTACGGTAGGGAAGAAATGAGTAGCGATGGCTCACGCTCATTATTGAGTCACCGACTGAGATCTCTTGGCCTGTCATTAGCTCAACTGGGCGATCCCACCTGAGCAGAATTACGCGTTACTATCAACCCCATAGAAGCCTCCTATTAGAAGGTGTGACCATCTCCAACAGTCAAATTTTGATGTTGATATTACTGCGGATATCTCACACTCTGTTCATACATAGCTGATGTATAAAATTGAGCAACAACATCAGTACAACGTTGTGCATAGAACAAGGTGTCTGCAAGGAATGAAAATCGTAATATGTCGTAGATCAACAACGTTACGTTGTTGTATCTGCTCGATACAGATTGTATTATACAATTGATATACAATTTGTATATCAGACTTGTGTCGGAGGGGCGTTGACATGGTATGATCAGAATACGAGATTTGTATTCTCATTGTATCACATTGTAGTGGTATTATAGTCGCATCCGCACTACGAATACGATAAGTTTTACATTGAAACAATATGAGTCTTCCACGATAAGTGATGACTCTTGTGAAGTCTCCACGGGTACGCTTTCGTGCAGTATGAGTGCATTTGCATTAGTTGGTAATTGTAGAAGTTCGTGACATCTATCCAT